CTATAGTGAACTAGGCCAAAACCTCTTGGAAAAAATACACCAATTACAAAATAACATCGATGAAAATCACAATGAACCGAACATAATGTACCTATATGAAACATCTGAGGAAGAAGTAAACCTAGTCATGAAAAATCTTAAAAATAAAAAAAATCTCCAGGATCGGATGATATTCTTGCCGAGACTCTGAAAAAAATATCAAGCCAAATCAGTTCACCACTGACTCATTTGATAAAAGAATGCTTTCAAAAATGATGTTTCCAGACTCCTTAAAAATTGGTTTAATTAAAACACTACATGAGAGTGGGGACAAAACCAGTATAGACAATTATCGCCCCATATCCTTGCTGTCTATCTTTTCTAAAATTATCGAACGAATTCTGAAATCAAGAATTTGTAAGTTTTTAGACAAGTTCCATATACTATATGACTTACAATACGGTTTCAGAAAAAGAAAATCGATAGAAGATGAAAAACACCATTCAACCTCACAGATTTATGAAGCATTGGATTCTCAAGTTCCAGCAATTTGTATCTTCGTCGATCTCTCAAAAGCGTTCGATACATTATGCCATGAACGACTTTTGGAAAATAGACAGTATGGACTTAGAGGTAATGGAGATGAACTCCTTAAGAGTCATCTCTCAGAATGGAAACAATTTGTTAATATTGATGGTGTTATCAGCAATCCCAGGAAAGTAACCTATGGTGTCCCTCAGGAAACCATAACCTCATAAAAAATGTTGTCAATAAAATAAGGGGCCTACTGTCTAGATCAAAGTACTTGAGAGACTTTCTTGATTTAAAAAATCTTAGTAGGTTGTATCTCTCTTTGGTCCAGTCGCTTATTAGTTATGTTATTTTGGTATGGGGTGGAGGTGCTGAACACCTGTTACATTACCTGAATGTAATCCAATCTACCGAAAGAATATTGACTTCCCAACTGATTTCCTGTTTCAAGAGAGCCAATTTCTTGATGTACGGCAGCTTTTTTGTCAAAATTTATCACATAATCTCCATAGGAAAAAAATACCAGTAAATAATCTGGATCATAATTATGAAACAAGAAGGAAATTAATATATGCCTGCAAAAACAATTGGCCAACATACATGTTAATACATTGCTCCAAGGTTATATAATCTACTACCAGCTACTGTAAAAACATAGATGAGGTCAAAGATTGGATTATGCAACGTGGAAGAGAAATTTTAAACAATCTTATAAATCTAAAATACTTATGATGAAGCAAAAGACGAGTTAAGAGCTCGTTTTCATTTCATTTTATATTCTTTTTTATTCTTCATCTTTTTTATTTATATTTTTTCCTCAAATACAGCTAGAGTTCTTTGTATGAAGAAATCCTTAATCAGGGTAGTATGTACTGTACTATACGTAGAAGATATATCAGATGTGTGAAACAGTGTAGTGTTTACGGTTATGTGTACTGTATATGTATGTATATATTTTGTTTGTTTTAACTCTAGCATCATCACATACAAGTATCTTGAATACTTCCGTGATGTTTTCAATATTTACTCTTCATTATTGATGTAACAATATTTTCTTCATGAATTATTTCTTTGAATAAACTTCAATATTATTAAAATCAATGTCTGAATAAGATTATCAGTAACCTCAACGTCGTGAGAGAAGATTCAAATTACAGAAATATTTGCAAAGTACTTCAAGTGCCTCCTCCTAGATCATTCATATAAAAGGATATAAATGTAGCATAAAACAAAGCTCTCGCATTCCAATTACAATATCTGGGAAATATAGCCCGTGCGTGCTTTCCAATTTTGTCTCCCTGTCGGAATAGAAATTCCAGATTCGTGTTAACGTTACCGTATATATAGGGTGTAACTGAATAAGTGTAAAACATTTAAGGAGGTGATTTCTCATCGAAAAGAGATAGGATCTTTCATATGAAGAAACTTCATTGTTAAGATACAGCCCCTTAAAGGGGGTACATAAAATTTGTATAACAATTTTTTTCACAAGCACTGAAAAACCTACAATATTGAAATTAACCTGACGTTTTGTACTACCAAAAAGACACTTAGCCAGTAATTTATTTGGTTTATCCCCATGGTTGTAAGGGGTGGAAAACGCAACCTCTAAAATTAATTTCCAATGTAACTTTTTGTCCTATTATTTGTTTACCATTTGAAAATCTATTTCCGATAGCCTGTTCCATTCTAAACAAAAAATGTCTGTTGGGATTTTGCCCAAAATAAACCAGTTCACAGCAGAACATTATTTTACGACAACCAATACGTAAAAAGTTGACAATTCATATTCATCCATCAACTAACTAATTATTATAGAGAACAAAATCTGGGCTGGTGGGCAAGGTTGATTGGAACCAGAAGTACCAAACGTCTCGCCTACTACTGCCACATACATCATCAGTGGTATATGTGTTGACTGCGAGTATAGAGGTTATATCTCGAAGTCTCAGCAACGACTGAATGCAAGAATGTAAACAGCAAGAAAGTTCTTGCATTCTCTACTCAACAAATATGTCTCGAGGATATTGGATATGTTTCGTTTTCCCTGCGCCGCCACTGTATAAAACAACTGAAACTTTTATAAGGTACATTTCTTTGTAGTATGTCCATCTCTAGAGATGAAAATAGGACTCTTTCAAAGAGACCTACTATACTTCCACGACACCCGAACTGTCCACTTACAATGGGCGCGACAGCACAGCAAATGTCTTCTGCGACAGTGAAAATGAGCCCTATTCACAGATGAAACCGGAATTGAACTGCATAGTGATGACCATAGGCCTGGACAGAGCCAGGTCGTCAGCAAATACTGATTTTTTCTCGAGTGGTTGCTTCCTATCAACTAGGGTTAGTAATGTTTTGGGGTTCAATCGCCGAACGCTATGAATTTCTATACGTGATAACATGACAATTTGAATTTATATTATAAATGACCCATTGTTTATATACTGAGAAACGAATCAGGTGAGAATTTCATCTTTAAGGATGATAACGCCTGGCCACATCGAATGGTTCAAAACGTACTGGATGGAATGAAGGCAAATTACCTTACTAGACAGGCCACCTAGCTCGCTGGATAAGAATCCTATTGAGCACAGATTTTGTTTCTATAGCAGTTCACAAATTCATTAAGTCGCCCCAAAATGCTATTTTCTCATTTCTGAATAAAGTTTATTCTGAGATAAATGTCGGTGAAAAGACTGTCACAGTATTTTGTGACCTGTCAGAGGCATTTGACCACGTTGATCACGAAATACTGCTAAACGTTATGGATACAGAGGAGTGACTCACAAATGGTTTGATTTCTACCTAATGGGATAGACGCAAATGGTCAAAACAACTCAACTTTCAAAAAAGAAGGGAAATTCATTCTGGAGTTCCACAAAGTTCTGTGTTAGGTGCCATTCTTTTCTCAATATATATCATTGACCTCACCAAGCTTAATATTTCTGGAAAGTTCACCTTATTTGCAGATGACACTACCATACTTTGGAATAATGAAAATACTTGTGAGTTGCGCAGAATAATCTCTGCCGACTTGAAAAAAGTCGTAGATTGGTGTGTTTCAAACATTTTATCTTTTAACTTATCTAAAACAAATTCATTTAGATGCTCAATCAACGATTTTTTTTAAGACAGATCACTGGAATCTAAAAATAACTCTAAATTTCTAGGAGTGTTCATTGACCAGAATTTTAAAATTTATGGAACATGTTACTATGCACTCATAGATTCTCATTTACTCTATAAAATACCGTTTTGAGGAGCATGCAGTCCAACTTCATTCAAAATTCTCCTAATTTTACAGAATAGGACAATAAGGTATATAGGAAACCTTAAACCAAGAAACTCCTGTAGAATCTTCTTCAAAAAACATAATATCCTAACGGCAACTGCATTATTTATACTGAAATCTGTGTGTTTAAATAAATGAGCATATATATTGAATTTTGCTGCATCCTCTTCCCATTATAACACCCAAAATAGCAGACACACTCTGAAACTCACTGTGCCAACTAAAACCATCACAAGAGACTCCATTTAATACAACGGTGGAAAAATGTACAATCATTTGCCTATGGACAGAAGATCTGCCAATATAAATGACTTCCAATTCAGGAAGTTAGTCGAACAATTTCTATCTTATAGACCCTATTGTATGAATTGAAGGGGATATATTTTTAGGAGCGATTAATTTTTGTATCAAGATGGAGTAGTAGAAAGCCAAAAACGTTTTTTTCCAAACCCTATTACACTTTGGATGAATATTTTAACGATAGCTTTCAACTGACTTATTCATATTTTTCATATTCATTCATTAAGGAGCTCCTAAGTTGTTACTTTTTATACTTACTCTCCTATAAACTTGAGTATCACTCTTTTATATATAATACATATCTTTCAAATCCTCCATTTCAACATAGTTTGTACCCATGCACCATTTTTATTTTAATTTCATTTGTTATGTATTGCATTTTTTAAGTATTTACTACCCAAACTTTATCTACAAGATTATGTCTCATAATAATAAAGCATATAATTATCATTATTATCATTGTGGAAACAGAGAGAGTCACACGGAATTCTGATTGATGTTCAATCAGGAGCAACGACAGTTTTGTGAATGTATGTTCTAAATCAATACAACAGAAAATTACAAATTTTTTCTCATGTTGCTTGTGTTATTATTCAAATTTTCAAGAGGCGCATTTTTGCGAAAAAATGCATTCAGTAATAATTATGGTTCACGAACAATTTTTTATTTTATTCCAAAGTGAAATGAATTACAAATAAATGTTGGGTCCAAGACTTCTTATGTTGTGTGTATTTGACAAGGTAATTCCTGAGATGGAGAAAATTCCAACAATCGAAACGGCAGAAACTACCAAAATGTGTACCAGCAGAATATTCTTTTGTGATGAAGCCAGTTAATTCATTAATTCAACAACCGTAGCAGGAAGTTCATTCACTGGAACTTTTATTTGCAGGTACCCCTATTCCTGCTGATACTTGTAACAACTTTCATTGTTGTTGGAAAAGCGGTGCATCCAGGTGAGTCTCATTTCTATATGGATTTCAGCGAAGCACTTCCATTTAGTATTCCAAAAGAAAATAGGTCTACTCTGTTTGCATGTACAGATACGGTTTTCTTGCACGAAATGGACTAGGTCTTACGGGGCTTACAAAAGTGTTCAGTCGATTTATATTACTCGCATAGATATAAAGAAAGTATTGATTCGATACGTTTTCGAAATTGAAACAATAATACATATTGGAAACCGAATATTTTCAGCAGAGAATATTTTTTTGAGAAAACAGATTTTTGGATTTCTTCTCATCCATCATTGATTTTTTTCTTCCCTTGGAAGTTTCCTACATTTTTTGTTTGATGATGAAGACTTTGAAGGTCAATGGCACATCTGATTCCAACAAGAGTGATACATATCAAAAACACGTGACGGTCAGTGACTGCTCATCGTTTTGAGGTTCAACTCAGTACACTTCGAACTTCACTGTTTGAGAACTCTTTCATTTGGAGAACTGCGTTTATGTGGAATAAACTTCCTGAGAACGTTCTTCCAAATTAATTCAATCTCCAGCTATTCAAATCTGACGAGACTCGTTACTTTCGCACAAGCATCGCTATTAAAGCGCCCTAAGAATTTTCCTGTACTGCTTGTGTTTTGTTTCTGGGAAAAAGTTTTTTCTCCAATAAACTAATTTATTTTAAATTTTTTTTTTCAATTTGAATGAAAATTCTTCAGCAGGAATTGAATCAACTAACTGTTTACATATGCATACCTACTGTCAACGTGACAAAAGCAAATTTCTTCTTCAGAAACATGAAGTCGTGATGATATAAAAGAAATGAATGTTTCGTTGTGTTATCCAAGGTTGTGATTCAGACGAAGTGATAAGGCAAGTATTTTATCTTCTAAGTGCACCAATTAGGATGATAGTGTTGAGGCTGTCTGTGAGAGTGTGCAGGAGAATCCGAGGCAGTCGATTTCGCATTGCTCACAGGAACTCGGCCTTTCCTGACCACGAATTTTGACTAATTTTGGGTAGTGATTTGGGCTTGCACCCAAGCAAAATTCCACTGACCCAGAAACTGAAGGTTGAATGGGTACGTGAACAAACAAAATTCTCAAATTTGGGACCATACCAATCCACATGAGATTCAAAAGCGTCCAATGCATCCCGAAAAGGTCACTGTCCATATTTTTATGAGATTGTCTTTGGCCAGGTCATCACGGCGAGCACTATAAATCGATGATCACCAACTTCTTCCAGCCTGAATTGGATGATCTGGACACCAACGACATGTGGTTTCAACAGGACAACGGTATGAGCCACACAGCTCATGCCATAGTGGATATTCTGCACGAGCGATTTGAGGAAACTGTCATCTCACGTGGAGGTGATGTAAACTGGCCACCGAGATCATGTGATTTGACTCCGATAGACCTTTCCTTGTGGGGTTTTCTTCAGTTGCAGGTGTACGCAAATACGCCACAAATCATAGCGGTCCTCAAAGACAACATAACTCATGCCATCGTTCATATTCAGCCTGATTCATGCCCCAGAGTCTTGTTTCTTTTAAGTACAGAGCAGTGCCTATGATAAAATGGTAATTTACATTGGATAATTTGAATTGGAAAAACGTTCCCAGGAAATTCAATCCACATGAACGCAGTTTTCCAGATGTAAAAGTCCTCAAACAATGAAGTTTAAGGTGTACCGACTTGTACCCCAAAGCGATGAGCAGCCACAGTCTGTCGCGAATTTATGATATGTCGCTCTTGGTGGAATAAAATGTGCCAAGTCACTTGAACACTGCCCGTGAAAGTATCTATTGGAAAGAGACAAATCTCCAGCCTTCCTTTAATGTTCCAGGCTATCAAGGTTGCACGTGATGTACGCGTCTACAATCAGGCATATGGCTCTTTTCTTTATGGAATTCAGCAACTTCAGGGCATGGTTGGGGGTAAAGCTATACTCCAAATAAGATCTGATCTGAGCATCAAAAGTTGCTTAGTTTTGTACAGTTTTCTGGTTTGGAACAGTGTTCTAAGCTTTTGAGAAGCTGCTTCCGCAATTCCAGCGGCATGATTGTGATGAGACATATTAGTGTACATTTTAACCCCCAACAAACTTATCGAAGCAGAAAGCGGGATTGTCTGGCCAGACATCATTATATCCGGTTCGTAGACATTCATCTTCTTGGAGAAACCATTGCCTAGATTTCCCTTGCATTGAATTACCCCTGGTTACTTTCACCTCAATTTGAAATCACTTATAGATCCTCATTAAGATATGCAACCTCCTGCTACCTGTAAAGATATGCCTCCGAAGCCGATGTCCTGGAATCCAAATAGAATGACGAGACAAGCGTGCTGTCGTCAGCAAAGCAGTATATTGAATTCTTGGTTCCTTACAATAAGTCGTTGTTTAACAATGAAAAAAGGGGTTGAAGACAATACAGTTCCCTGGGGAACACCAGCGTTGATGGTGGAAGTATTTGAGGGATATTCATCGACGGTCACTCGTAGGAAACGTTCTGTCAGGATGAAGAGCCATATACAAAAATGATCCGACAAGCCGTATCATCGAAATTTGGCCAGCAAACCCTCATGCCACACACGATCGAAGGTTTTTGAAATATCAAGCGCAACAGCTCTTGATTTTCCATGTTTCTCGATTGTTTCATTCCAAATATAGGTGATATACGATAGATCTTTGTTTCCGAAAGCCATATTGATGATCGCTCAAGATGTTGAAGCGTTCCATATATTTGAGGATATGGTGGTTTACGACTTTCTCCATGATTTTTGATATCACTGATATCAAAGCTACCGATCTATAGTCATTTGAAATATTCTTCTGGCCCTTTATGGGAATAGGTTGAACGCGAGCAATCTTCCAACAAGAAGGAAAACCCCTTTTCTTGTAAGACAGGTTGAAATGTCTGCAAAATACTGGTGCGAGTTCATTCGCGTACTTTTTGAATACGATGACGGGCACTTCATCAGGGTCAGACGCCTTGTTGATATTGAGCTGTTTGAAAATTTGCCTGGCGAGACGCGGTCTAAAAGTAATTTCCGGCATTGTGGATTCTAGTGTGGAAATAGGTGATGGTGCCTTTTCCAGAAAATTGACTGTGGAGTAGGACACAACTTGTTCAGCTAGTAGATTTGCTTTTTCTATAGCTGTTGTTGCAATTGAAACATCCACATGTGTTAGCGGTGAAATTATAGATTTCGTAAAGTTCTGAATAACAGCTTTAGCTACCTACCAGAAGAATCTAGACCCATTAGGATTGGCAAGCACTTCATCCCTAATTCTCTGAAGTTCTTTGCTTCCATTTATTTCAAGCTTGCAGCTGTTGCGGACAGTAACAAACCTACTTCGGTTTTCAACACTGGGATTTTTGGCCACTGCCGGTAGGCGAGATTTTTGGAGGCGACAACTGGCTCACAATTTTTGTTGAATCAAGGTTTGCCGTTAGAAGGTCGTTTCATTGAAAAAGTAATAAATGCATCCATGGATGTTAGAATTACTTCCGTGACTTCAAAAGCACAAGTCTTTAGAGCTGGAAATGGTCTTGAAAATTCTCCCATTCAGCTGATCTGTAATGCCAAACTTTGCGTAGCTTAGATTGTTCCCCAACATTCAACGGTAATTCACTCAATACTGAAACATGTTTGTGGCCAGAAGATCCCAATGGAGACCTTACGGTGACTGTGTAAATCAATGGATTGGTTGTTAGGTATAGATCAAGAAGAATATTCTTCATCACGATCAGGATTCCTGGTTAGCTCATTCATACTCTGATAAAAAGAGATATTCCAAAGTTACGTCTATATCGGGAGTGCAAATCATAGCCGGGATATAGAAAATTGACAGGGTTTATTGGAGCACTGACTTCGGTTTCTATGAGTGCAAGAATTTGAGGACTATTTGATTGCAGATGTTGGTGCACTGAGTTAGTATTTGAGTTGAGTTATCTGATGTTGCAGGAATCGGTTTGGAAATTGCTAGTTGGCCTCCCAACAACTGCAGTGAACCTGCTATTTCCCTGTGTACTGATGTTAGAAAGACCCTGCTGACTGTCAGAAATAGTGGTTTTCGAATAACTCCTGTAGGATGATGCTCTTGAATCAGCCTCCACCTGGACATTCGATTTGGGAGCTATTCTACCTCCGGAGTATACTGACTCATGGAGCGCCATCACGCATTTTTCCTTATATTCCCACCCTTGAAACCGGAAACAGTGGCACGGCAAAGTAACGTTAGCACGAAAGCAACTTTACGCTGCCTGAAGCTTGTGGCTCACTTGTTCGGCACAGCACAACACGGCGCTGTCCGTCGCCTGATGGCGACGGGTCGTAGCATCGCCCACTTATCCAGCTTCAACCAGCATAATGAAGGTGCTGTTTGTTCAATTTCAAGGAAATTTCACTTGACATCAATCGATGACAGAAACATGTCTGTCACTAGCAGTTCTGACGGAGAAATCGTCATTATAGTGGCTGCATTATTGAATGTAGACGGGTCCATCCCATTTATCAAAAAAGGAAGAATCTGGGAGAGTTTCGTCATCTATTCAAGGACCTGATAGAAGACGATGAGGAATTTTTCCAGTATTTCCGAACGACTCCAGGCAAATTTCCAGAACTTCTGGACTCAATTTTTTCCCATCTATTTTCATAGGTACCGTCTGATACTGTGCTGTCAACTGATAGAATGGCAAAACAGAAAGACAGAAACTTCCTATGCACATTTGGACAAGTTGATGCTGACAAGCGCTGGCCAGCGACGCGCTCACTTGGCCAGTCCATTTTCATAGGTACCGTCTGACACCGTGCTGTCAACTGATGGAATAGGAAAACAGAAAGATAGAAACTTCCCAAGCACTTTTGGACAAGTTGATGCTGGCAAGCGCTGGTCGGGACGCGCACGCTTGGCCAGTCTATCATAGAACGTTCCGTTATTTGCCGGTCAGGATCGGAGAGCTGGAATCCTTTCCGGCGGTGTACGATCTTGGCTGT